CTGTGACCATGCAGGCTTAAAGACAAGTTCCATAAAGATGAAAAATAGAATTTAAATAAAACTCCAATTAACTTTGAGTTCCCTTTTGTGCTTTTCCAGGTGGTTATGTTAAATAGTATCCAGTTTTGATTTCTCTGGGAAAAACCACTAAGGAGAGGTTGGAGTTCGGGAAGAAAGGGTAAAGATTATAAAACCATAAGATGGCCTATAAACAGAAGAGGTGGAATCTGAGTTTCTTAGCCCTGGTTTGGGTTCTCTAGACTTCATTCCCAAATAACTCGCTAACTCCTGACAGTGAAATGTTGAACACAGGCGACAATATTGTCAGAGCGGCAGCAGACTGTCACACGCTTCTCTTGCTCACACTCCTGGGGAGTATCCTGGGGTGTCATCAAGACTGAAGTGAGCAGGGACTGGAGGAGAGAGCTGTGCTATTGGCTGAAAACGGGTCACAAGCAACCAGCTAATCCTTAAAACCACAGAGAAGGCGCCGTCTTTAATGCAGAGATAGTGGTGAGTCTTAGGAGAAAGGATTTCTAATGTGTCTGTCTTGCTCCACTGTTTTGTGGCAACTGAGCAAATGAGGAAGATTAAATTAGCTGTCATTACAACTACATCATGTTTAATAAAGTTAAAATTGAGAGAACATCTTTGTAAAATAGAATTCTAAGCCTAACACATTAATGACACTTAATGAACCAAAACTGGGTAAATCCCTTCGGAGAGCCAACACACGAACAAAGCTATTAATTGGGTCACAGTTGTTTCCCAACAAGCCTTTTGTTTGATTTACTCACAGTAAACAAAACCATATCCATCCGTCTTTGTGCAGAAGTATTCACCAGCGCAACAAAATATAATTATTACACCTTTAGCACTTGCAATTACACGACTTTAGGATGACAACACTGTTGGCTATGCCCTTCATTAGCATCTGTCACTTCCCCAGCCACTCCCCAGGCTGGCCACCCGCCCTCTGAAGCATTAGGCTTGGCAGCTGATTGACTTGTCTTTATGTCCTTAAACCTTTCAAAATAACAGAACAGATAAATCACCTGTTTTCTGGAAAGGAAATAGGTATTTCTAAAGAAAGCAAGAAGAGCAAATTGCTTCAAAAAATCTCAGCTTTGTGATTTATTCAGTGGCCTAGACCAGTGGTCGCAAACTGCAGCCCCTTGAGTGTGGCTCTTCCACAAAATACCACGTGCGGGCGCGCACGTACAGTGCGATTGAAACTTCGTGGCCACACTCAAGGGGCCAAAGAGCCGCATGTGGCTCGAGAGCTGCGGTTTGCCGACCACTGGCCTAGACTGAGACGCTAGAGGTTATTCGTGGCGCTTTGCCGAACTAAAGCCAATTGATAATCAGAAGCTCTAGAATAACATGTAGATGGAGCACTTTATTGCTCCTGGGGTGGATGGAGCAGAGAGAACAATTCCTCAACTCTGAGCTAGGGAAGAAGGTCTAATCCTGCCACTCCCTACAGGAGTCAGCAGCAAAAACCAGCTGACCCAGGTGCAAACTAGTGGCCACGCTTTCATCTCCTGGTAGGACACCTCACCCCCCCCCCCACCCCCAACCCCTGGTGACTGGAGTTGAGAGCAGGAAGGTAGCTGCGTGGTGAAATGCAAAGTCACCGCAGAAAACAAGATTGGCCCTCATGCCCGGACAGTGTGGCTTAGAGGTTGCATGTTGACCTATAAACCAGGAGGTCACAGTTTGGTTCCCAGTCAGGTCACATGCCCAGGGTGGGCTTGATCCCCAGTAGGGGGGTGCGCAGGAGGCAGCCTATCAATGATTATCTCTCATCACTGATGTTTCAATCTCTCCCTCTCCCTTTTTCTCTGAAATCAATTAAAAAAAAAAAAAAGATCAGCCATGGCAAAGGTAACAAGCTCGAAAGAGAGTCCTTGCACTTCCCTTCTCCAAATCAACTTCTCCCTCAGTCTAGCCCAGTGATGGCGAACCTATGACACGTGTGTCAGAGGTGACACGAGAACTCATTTTTTTGGTTGATTTTTCTTTGTTAAATGGCATTTAAATATATAAAATAATATATCAATAAATATCAAAAATATAAATCTTTGTTTTACTATGGTTGCAAATATCAAAAAATTTCTATATGTGACACGGCACCAGAGTTAAGTTAGGATTTTTCAAAATGCTGACACACCGAGCTCAAAAGGTTCACCATCACTGGAGCCCATTCACCAAGAGGCTCTAGCCTTATACCTAGAAACTAGCACTGACTCCTCTCTCTTCCCTCAGATCCCACATTCAGCTCATCACGCAGTCTGCGTGGGCTCTACTTCGTTATCTAGTCCAATCATTTTACCATCTCCACCTCCAGCACCTCAGTCTAAGCCACCGACATCCGGTGGGGAGAGAGGACTCAATCGTAAAAGCCGGAGTGAACGCCGCCTTTGGAGAACTGAAAGGTGATCAATGTGGTTTTAACGAGAGGAAAGAGGGAGAGCAGAGTGGACATGGCTGGAAGGGTAGGGAGGGGCTGGGCTATACATCACTTTGTAAAACCACATGAAGGATTTGAATAGACACTGATTAAGAGAGAGAAAATTGAGGTTGTTGAAATCTACTAGGAGATACTAACAAGTACAGTATTAAACAAATGGACATACTTTGATAAAGGCAACAGAGCTGACAAGTTAAGGAGATACTCATGAACTAGATGGTTGGGAATGTGGGTCAAACGGTGATGGCTAAGATTTAGGAGTGACCAACTGAGAAGTCAGCCAAATTCTGTCCTTCCTTGCTATTTCCCTAACATACATTCTAAGGTAACAGTATTTCTAAGTAACAGATAATAAAAGAAAGCTGCTACCTTCAATGCTGTAATACCAAAACCCCAAAATAAATCTATGTGGTACATTTAGGAGCAAAGATTTTATTCAAACGGATCCCCAGATGAGCCGCCAAATGAGCCGGAGATGAAGCCTCTAAATAAAGCATCTAAATAAAGACTGACAAAGTGAACCGGTGAACCTCACAGCATCAGTCATTCACTGTGGAAGAAGGATGCTTTATGGGACAGTCTGAGAAATACAATGCTAGGGATGAGAACAACAAAATGACAGGTAGAATGCAGAAATGAAAGGTTATTTTCCGATAACCATTCAAGAACACAAAATGAAAGATGAAGGATGCTTAATGCTAAACAATGTTTTTGGAATCTAACAAGTCTCTGTCATGTAATGTTGGAATGTCACACGGTCACTCACAAAAGTCTGTGGGAGTGGCCTGCTTCCTGCTGCTAGCCCAGCTGACCGGCGGCACCGCCTGAAGCCTGAACGTTGTTTGGGTTGGAAATCCCCCACTCCTGTGTGTACATTGCCAGACCTCACTCCTCTACATGCCCAGCTCTGGGGAGTGACACGGCTAAAGGCACTGTGTCGATGCTGACAGTCAATTATCTTCTCAAGGTCCCCATTGATGATGCAATCTGACGGAGCATGTATATGAAGTTGGGTGGGAAATAATATTCCTGCAAGCACCGAGGAAGTCAAAAGAGACAGCTCCATTACCATTGGACATAAGGAAGTTCGGATATTAACGATCATTTTAACTGGCCGTTTAACCTGTTTTGTATGGATCATAAAAATCACTGGTTAACTTCATCTGCTGCCTTTTGTGCACTATGCAGGCCTTCTTTATCTATTTACTTCTATATTACTAACCAGAGCATCACTGGACACTGATATTTAGTGACAACAGTCAGTGCCCACAAGATTGAAGAAAATCGATCCATAGACCAAAAATAGCTTACATTCTTTGGGCTCATTTGCAGCCAAAGGTTTTTCAGTTGAAGGATGATCTCCTTTTCATTTCATAAAGCCACATTCTAAGATCTCCTGAAAGTGAGTAACGGGGAAAAAAGAGAAAGAGAGGAGGTAAAAGAAGGAAGAGAGGGAGAGAGAAAAGGAAGGGAAAGACTGAATTATGAAAGAAGAAAGAGCCCATCAAACCTGGAAGGAAGACAGAAAACATATCGAGAGACCAAGGCTTGGAGCCTGCCATGTGTGCAGTACCCGGATCTACTGTGCAAGGGACCTGCTGGCTGTACCTACAGTCTCTCAGCCCCAGTTCTACCTTCTTGCTACCCCTCATGTGTGGCACTGGAGCTGGGTCTCTGCAAACCACATTTCAGAGGCTCCTTAGCCAGTTGGCTCTTCGTTAGGCTGTGCCACTAGGAGACAGAAAACACACCGTCTACCTGGTTTCTGCCGCTGGTGCCAACATCCCCCCAGCAGGAGGACCTGACTCCGGCCTCCATGTTCTATTAGTACATTGAGAAGGAGCCTCATTGTGTCCTTCACATATGCCCAGCTGGCCCCTCCTTGGAGGTCTGAGCATCGACTCTTCCCTGGCTCTTCTTCGAGTTCCTAAGTATGGAGAGCTGTCCTAGGGCGTGACAGCTGCTCCCTAAAATTATTTCCCCAGGTTTTCCTTTCACTCTTCTAGCCCTCTTATTCCATGTAGCAAATTTCCTGTATCAAATCCTTTCTGTTGAAATACTTTGTTTTCTGACTAGGCCCTTTCTTCTCAAAGACTCCCTTCTGACAGCACAGCCTGTGAATGTCCCAACAGCTGAGAAATTCTGCAGCTTTACCCAATAACCACCTGGCGGTCTAAATGAAGGCTAAATTTTTGATTAAGGGAATCCAAAATGAAACAACTGTGACATAGCAAAAATGACTGTTCTAGCACTCTGTAATATGAAGCCATACCTTTAATTTGGAATATTTTCATGGTTGGCCATCTTAAGTAAAAATAACAATTCAAATAAGCTTTTAGTATGAAAATATGAGATTAGTGGGTATATTACTGAATAGCACATCTGAATGTGTAAAGTATTTGGATTATTGTCAAGAATGAAAGGAAAAATTAACTTATTGTAGATGTCTATCAAGCTTAATAAGAAAGGAAAAATTGAAAAACAGGTACATAAATAGAAACTGGAATTCCACAGGTGGGAGTCTTACCATGATTTTGTCACTGTCGATAATGGTGTTCAACCTGTGTGCAATGGTTAGCACCGTGCAATGGGCAAATTTCTCACGGATTTTTTTTTGTATTAACTCATCAGTTCTGGAATCAAAGAAGTTGAATTTAGTTCAGTAAAGACAGACTTAAGACTTAAAAATATAATATGATATTTATATAATGTTTCTAAAAATCAAAACTTTAAGCATGATCTTGTTCTTTAAAATCTAAGTAGAAAGTCTATTTACAAATTTACAACTTTTCATAAAAAAATGGAAGATATTCTTCCTTTCAAATTGTTTGAAACTATGAGGAATTGAATTTAGGAACTTAGCTCTCTCAGGAAGCTTAATAGTAACATTAACAGCATACATATTTTGGTTTCTTCCTCTGCTTACCAGAATTGATTCTTCAAGGGTTATCAAGAGGTATCAAAGAGAGCACTCAGAAAACTCACCACCATCATTAAATGTTTCTCATTTTACCACATTTAAAATTCGGATACCAGGTTGTGTGGAACTCAGCCCTGTACCTGAGATCCACGTTTGCTGTCGCCTCATCAATGATCAATATCCGATTTTTCCTGAGAATGGCTCTGGCAAGGCACACCAACTGTCTCTGTCCGACACTGAAGTTCGATCCAGATTCTGCTAATTCAGTATCCATTTTGCCGGGAAGATCTTCGATGGCTTCTTTAAGTTGTACCTGTTGATGTAGAAAGAAGAATGGTGTTTTCCTCAACTACTATTGAAGCACACAAGCCTCCTAGACATCAGAGCTTTGGAATCCTTGGGACTTCTTCCATGTCTTCCGTGTATGGCCACATGACAGGGACAGTTATTTCCAATTAGTGTTCACTAAGAAAGATGGATACGTCAACTCAGGACAGAAACGTTCTGATTTAAGAGCATAAACTTTAATGGGAATCAAGATTCTTCTTAGTTGCCATCAGTAGGCACAGTCTGTTCAAGTTCTATCAATGTCATTAAGACATATAAAGTATGCAAAATAAAATGATTCCTGCAGTAAAATATAGAAAAATTTTAAATGTTTCTTCTAATTTTTTAATTCAAATTAAACTACAGGAATTTATAGAGACAAAGAATAGAACAGTGGCCCTGGCTGGTGGCACAGTGGTTAGAGCATCGGCCCACCCACTGTAGGGTCACAAATTCTATTCGGGTAAAGGGCATGTACCCAGGTTGCGGATTCATTCCCCATCCCCACTCAGGGTGAGTGCAGGAGGCAACCAGTCTCTCTCTCTCTCTCTCTCTCTCTCTCTCTCTCTCTCTCTCTCTTGCTCCCCCTCCATCTCTTCCTCCCTCCCCCCACTTCCCTTCCACTCTCTTGGAAAAGCAATAGAAAAAGTGAAGCTATAAAAGAAAAAAAAAGAGTAGAACACCAATTGCCTAGGGACTGGAGGGTTAACTGTAAATGGGGGTGAGAGAAATGCTCTAAAACTGGATTGTTGTGATTATATAACTATAAATTTACCCAAATCACTGAATCACACTTACACGGTGTGCATGCAGGGGGCAACCGATCAATGTTTCTCTCCTTTTTCTCTCTCTCTCTCTCTCTCTCTCTCTCTCTCTCTCTCTCTCTCTCTCTCTCCAATGAAAATATATCCTTGGACAAGGATTAAATAAGAAAGAAAGAAATTAACAGATTGATGAGTGATAGCCAATAAACAGGGGCACAAAATTATCATGTCAACTAACACACACCAAGGGTAAGTGGGCAATGTTTTCATGGTATTTCCTAAACACTGAAGCACTTCTATGAATGTGTTCTTGAATTGCGTTCATGATGGAGGTCCAAGCCCAACAAACAAATTCTCAGTTAGGGTTAAATATGGTCATTGTGAGTGAGGATTAAAGATGGTGTTGGTATTCAACATTCACATGAAAGATATACAAAGTGTAAGGTGTAAGATTTGAACTGTGGTGCATTTACTTGTACTGAGATTACTTGTGCTGAAAATTATAAAATGAAGATGTCAACTCAGCCAATTGCCCTCCATTACAAGGAAGAGTACTTACTGCGCATTCTCTTTACGACACATATTCATAAGTCTACACCCCAGGTGACAGAACTGATCAAAGGTATAACAGTGGCAAGGCTTTTCATGCTGAGCTGACTTCATGTGTGCAAACTGGTCTATCTTACGATCAATACCCTGGCTTTGAAGAAATAATCTCACACTTTTGCCCAACTCAGATGACATCTCATCACTAGTCCGGTTTTTTACCATCTTTGAGGTTGTCCATACCTGCCTGATGAGGAGTAAAGGTTGTGAGATGAAGAACAACAGACATGGGTTCCAGAAAACACTGTTTTCTGAGACTCGGTCTTCATTTACTAATCAGGGTTGGTTAGGAGAATGTCTTGAATGCCAAGGCCCTCTGCTAGTGTTATCACACATCCATGTTATAATTAACCCTCAGAACGGAAAAGAAGAGAACTGAGGCAGTATATCGTAGTAGCTAGGAGTTGCAATTGCTGGATTTGAAAACTAGGTAACAGGGTAATGACTGTAAATGTAGAAGAAATGTCCTTGTTCCTATAAGGTACACGTTTATGTATATAAGGGTGAATTGCAGCATTTAATGAACATTTCTGCAACTTACTTTCAAACGGTTTAGCAAAATATAGATTGCAGAAGAGAGAAAGCAAAAACTGGCAAAATGTTAACAACTAGTGACTTTGGGTGAAGGGCATACGTTTGTTCATCAGCCTAGTCCTTCGACTTCCCTGTGATATGAAAATTTTAAAACAGAGGGACCTTGAGGCCAGACAGCCTGGACATGAGTCTCACCTGGCTCTGCCAATTGGGCAAGTTCCTGGACTTTCTCTATCTTAGCTTCCTAACCTATAAATACTATCATATTAACAATAAAGGTGTCAACCACCTAACACTGTTAGAGTATAAAATTAGTATGTGTTGAGTTTACAACAGTGCTTGCTACAAAGCAAGAGATCAATAGATATTACCTGCTATTAATAATGTGGTTAGCTGGCTTCTCACCGTGGTCTGCTACATATTTCGTCTTTGCATTTATCAGGACTGAGAATGGGTATATATAATACAAATTTGTATGTTTTGACTTCTCATTGATGAACTGCTTAATCTTTAACCATTACTTATGCTATATTTATAGAGCTGCCATTTCGTTTTAGGTGCCAAAATCAGCACTAATTTCTAATGAACTTTCTTGAGCTTGCACCTGGCTATTTTTCAGGGCATATATCAAAAATGTATTTTCAGCATAATTTAAAATAAAATAACCAAGATGAGATGGGCAACATCTATAGAACTAGCTCCCTTCTGAATGTCCATCTCTACCAAGGGTGAAAGAGGAAGAAAAACGAAGAAGACATTATTTTTTTAAAAAAAAAAAAAAACAGCATCTTTTCCTTTTATCTGAATTTCTTAAGGAGGAAAACCATAGTATCCTCTTATTGATTCTTAAGCCAACCCTGTGAGTTTGGGTTCCCATTTGTAGTATGGCATCATTTATAAACCAGCTGATCAGGGTTTTTAGTTCTCCTAAAATTTGACCTCATTGCTTTCTATGTTTTTCAATGAAAGATTTGGTAAATTTTTTAAAAATTGGGATACCAACTCTTTTGCTGAAAAGCATACAAAAGTCATATAGAAATAAATCCGAGAGAATCGCAATGGTGGGGGTGATTGCTCACACTAAGAGGCAACAAGGGCAATTCCAGGAGCAACACACAGAAACCATTGACTTCATTTTGTGAAATAAATTCATGTTCATTTTTACACAGGAAGTTCCAAATGTGGCTTAAATAAAGGCAGATCTTAGTATTATCTACCACTTCTACCATCTCATCATTTCTAGACTTCTCAGAGGCTACTAATTTTTACTTTAATTTTGGCTCCTACAGATGAAATAAGTTACTGCCAAGTTCTAAGATAGTTTTTGAAAGGATTTGTCTCCCAATTAACATTTCTTCACTGTCTAGGGAACACTGTGTTTCTAGGGTAATATTACTATCTGAGAATCTGTGAAGACAGATCTCAAGCTCTGAAATACTCAGAAAAATCATTTACCAATAATTCCTGTTTTTCAAATGTGTGTCACAAATTCACCACTAACTGTGCCCTATGAATTCAAGAACAGGGATTGTTCTACCATCTATTTGATGGTTAACTATTCTCCCCGCCTCTTCTCTTCTAGATTTTCATGGTAGAAAGACTCGCCAACTTAAATGAAACCAGAGGTCCACCGCTTCTCAAGTAGAAGGAGCAGTCAGTGGTCAGCCCGATTTAGGAAAGTGAGATCCCCAAAGTTGCTGGAGAGCAGGGTGGGGTGTGAAGACTCAGTACCAACATGCCTTCAGAAACCAGAATTACTGGCAGGAAATTGTCGGGCATCCAACTATGCTTGCTCACAAAGCTCATCTATAAACGAAAGATTTCAGGGCTATCCCTGGAAGGGACACATGAAATGGCAAACGCAGATTCAAAATAACAATAATGTGAGCAATTGATCAATGGGTCTTGTGTGTTTTGTTTTTTAATATATTTTTTATTCATTTATTTAATTTTTTGTTAACTCTCACCAGAGGATATTTTTCCCATTGATTTTTAGAGAGAGTGAAAAGGAGGGGAGAAGATGGGTTGGGGGGAGAGAGAGAAAGAGAGAGAGAGAGAGAGAGAGAGAGAGAGAGAGAGAGAAACATTGATTTGAGAAAGAAAAGCGATTGGTTGCCCCCCCGCCCCCCCATGTGCCCTGACGAGGGCTGGGAATTGAACCTGTGACCCTTCAGTGCACAGGCCAATGCTCTAAACACTGAGCCACACCAGACAGAGCTATTAGTTTGTGTGTGTGTGTGTGTGTGTGTGTGTGTGTGTGTGTGTGTTTGTGTGTGTTTTTTAAGAAACAAGCCACAGTTCTCTGAAATAAAGAGAATGTTAATAAACATTCAGAAAATGTTTATTAAGCACTTACTTTTTAAAAGCAAAAGACTGAGCTAGGTTCTATGAGGAATGAGAAGTCTATCTATGGTTTGGAAGTCTAGATATGGTTTCTGCCATCCTGTAGTTTGAATCAACTTATAGAACTAGGGCAAATACACAAAATAATTAGTATTAAAAAATACAACACAACAAGGCCTGTGAAAATAGGAGCAAATGATTTTTCACTGTTTCAATAATCTTGCATTGGGTTTTATTAAATGCCACCCAGCATCACCAATTTCCCATGCCTTTGGATTCTAGGAAAAAAGTTAAAATGAAAACATGAGGCACTATATTTTTGGTTTTTAACATCATCAATATACTCATTTTATCTATGTCATCAATGTTATCCTAGGTGGTGAACAAAGTGACTTAAACCAAAAAGTTCTCTCTTAATTACCTGGAATGCTATAAATGTGCATATACTGATGCTAACAAATTAATTACATGTTATAAATTACCTCTTTTAAGGCATTCCACAGTTCCTCATCCGTATGCTCATTAAAGGGATCCAGATTTTTCCTCATTGTTCCAGTGAATAAAACAGGCTCCTAAGTACCACAAAAAAGTGAATGTTATTTCTGTACCCTCTTTTCCATGTATTCCAATACTAACTTTCAATTCAAAAACCCAAAATTCACTATAATCATGAGTTATACGGTTGCAAATATTTGATTACAGAATAATCTCTATATTAATTTTCCATTGTACAGCGTGCAGTCCAAAATATCTCCTGGACCATTGAACACTAACAAAAGAAACTAATGAAGTGTGTCATCTTAAGAAGAAACTGAAAAAGGAAGGTTGACTTTTAAAAATGCCTTTCTGATAATGGTATCTGTTCAAACAGAAAAAATGAGAATATAAATTATTTGAGGTTACATCAGGACAACATAAATTAATTGTCAATCCAGGTGTGGTGTGATACTGGAATTTGTGTTGAAATTTGTGCCTCAAAGCAAAACTGTTAAATATTTTCACATTTGCACAGAAGAATAAACTAGGATATTTTCTCTTCTGGGAAACCAAACTTTCAGGATTGGGAATCTCTCTATCTGTTTGAATGGGACAACCTGTTTTTTTGTCCTAAGAGAAGGTAAACTAATAGGGCCAATGACACCTCTATTCATAAAGAGATCACCTCTGATTTGCATCAGCAAACCCCATGTTATCTTGTCTGTGCATCAGGATTTCATGACTCATAGAACTTTGTTATTAACTGCAAGGGCTGGATAACCTGAAACCCATTGTGTGATGTGCGTCATAATGAAATTATTTTTATTTAAATAGCTCTTCCTCTTCACCTGCCTTGGGAGGAACCACAATTAAATTACTCTTGAAAAATATGCCTCCTTCTAGGTTATAAGTAGGCCGTTTAAGTTTTCTTTTGAGAGGCTCTAGGAACCCAGGCCACAAGAATATGGGCAGCAGAAAAGAGCTCAACAGGCTACTTTCAAAAAGGTGTAGAACAATGAGATGCACAGCTATGGGAACAAGAGGAGACTGGACTTTCCCACCAGTGCTAGACTCAAGGGAATCAACAGCCTCGGATCTGGCCTGGCCTTGGGGCTGGACGGTTCCTCTTCACTTCTCAAAAGCCAGAGAGAAAGATAGAGACGGTACTTTCATCTTCTCTAGCCATGAAGAAGCATGACACTCAGAGAACCTCCCACACTTTCTCTCCTTATTGTCTTAGTTTCAGGAAGGGTGAGGGAAAAATGGATGCAGAACACAGATGGTCGGCCATCAAACAACATGTACCCCTAAGCAAAATCCTACATTAAAAAGACATTAAGTCCTGGCCAGTGTGGCCCAGGTGGTTGGGCATCATCCTGTGCACCAAAAGGTTACCAGTTTGATTCCCAGGCAGAGCACATGCTAGGGTTGTGGGCTTGATCCCCAGTAAGGGGCATGCAGGAGGCAGCTGATCAATGATTCTCTCTAATCATTGATGTTTCTCTCTCTCTCTCCCTGTCCCTCTCTGAAATCAATAAAAATGTATTTTTTTAAAAAATAAAACAACAACAGAGAGAGACCGGAGATACTCTGTAGGCCTTAAGGAGGGTCTGCTAACTATCACTAAATCACTGATGAGTATCATAAAAAGAAATTAAGCATTTTCCAATGCAAAAGGGTCCCCACTTAAATCTGTACTGTAGATCTAAAAGAATGTATTAGGCAATTACTCATGTTTACTTAGCAGTATGAAAAGAAAAGAGTTTAATAATAATAATATTTCTCTTTAAGACATGCCAAATATCCTATATGATAAAAGGCTAATATGCAAAACGACCAAACAGCAGAACGACTGGTCGCTATGAGATGCACTGACCACCAGGGGGCAGATGCCCAATGCAGGAGCTGTGGGCTCCCTCCCCCCCCCCACTCCCCCACACGAATGTCGCGCACCAGCCCTCTAGTATATTATAAAATGAGTAAAATTTCAATCAAAACTTGTTGAATAAAAAAATGATTTCTCAAAACTTTAACTGAGTAAAGCTATATTTTTCTTTGAAACTATCTGGCAATTTGTTAACAATGTCTGCTTTAATATGCCAATGCGTTTTATGCACCATGTTCATTTTGGTTTCTACTCATTGCACTCTCATCCACTTGTCAAATAAGAAACCATTATATTATCTTCAAAAGGTAATAAAAGTGCTCACAGTAGAAACTACTGTAGAAGCAGATAAGGGTCAAAATAATACCTATCAGAAATGATAATTAATATTTAAAATACCCACCTCCAAGCAATGAAGTTAATAAACTAATCTTATAAACAAGTGTTATAAAAATATTTGCAGGCAGAACATTTTAGTGTTAGACATTTATGGTAGGACACACAACCTTCATGTAAATATACACTAAATTTATTAACCTAAGTACTAAATTTTTCCTGAAGGTGCACAATTAAACCCCATTTAATAAGAGTGAGCTGGCACGATACAGTTAGAAAAAGAAATGTAATATTTTAAATGGAGCATTAGTATTAAACCTGTTTTTCATCTTGGTTTAAAGGGTACACTATTTTTATCCTTTGTACCAAATATAGTAGTAATTTTTTTCCTTTGTTACTAGCATAACACAAGTTCATATTAGGTGTGTGACCCCAAAAAGGCCACTCTGAATCAGAGCACTGAGTGTAGTAAATTGATAATCCCTCGACACACTGCAAGATGGGAACCTATCGGCCTACTGGACCTTTGGACACACCACTGGAAGACAAGCCTCTCATTCTCCTAAAAAGAAACCCTACCCACTAACCTTCAGACACTTAAAACCCGGGACCAAGACAAAAACCGTACAAGTGGTTACAAACTCGGCAGATAAAGCACAACACTTTACACTCCTCATTTCAGTCCCAAACCAGGAAACCGCCCTCTTATTAAAATACATCCTCAGGAGTGCTACTGCCACTGCTTCTTCCAGTCCTGAGAGCTCCGTTTCCATTTCTATCTAAGGACCTTTATTGAGGGCAGCTCATCTCCCTGTCACGAGAAAATCACCTGGAGTTGCTTTATTTCTTGGCTTCCTTCTTCTTCTTCTTTTTTTTTTTTTTAAACCCTGTAGCCTCTGAATGAACTGATCGTCATCCATATTCAGAAGAAAAGGACATTGTTCGCCAACAAAGGAAAAAGAATTTAAGTCGTGTAAAGTCCTCTTTGGATACAAAAAGGTCAGGAGCTGCGGGGAGCAGTTCCAGGGGCTTTAATGAAGACTTCAGTGTCGGAAACAAAGGACCCACTGCATTAGGCTGGAATCCAGTTGTATTTCTTTCCGAGTAACAGCATACCCACCTCTGCTCTCTTTGAGTTCTGTTCTCAATAAGAAAAAGAGAAGGGAAAGAAAACCAGGTACTACGGAAGAAGTCTTAAAGAGATAGACCTGTTGAACCTTTTCAACCTGCTGAAGACAACCCACAGAATGGAAATACCAAAAGAGCAGAGTGATACTCTTTAAAAATTACCTACCTTGTGCTGTGATTATAAAGGTCTAATAAAAATAACAGATGGATCTGCTTAATCGTTTGAGGATGATAGCTGTTGATCTGTGCCAACCCTTGGGGTGCAATCATAAATATTGCATTTGCATGGAATCCCTCTTCAACTGAAAACATTTTCTTTATGCCCATAGGATAGGGGCTGTAGGTGTGGAGAACTCATCCAAAGAAGTTTTGAAATCCATTTTTACAGATCTTTCAGATAAGCAAGCAACTCCCTGAATATAATCTCACCTTGGTGTTCTCTTTGGGGAACATATTTTAACTATTTCGGGTCATGAGTACAAAGGACGCCTACATTTCAGCTACCTGTTCAGTTTTAAAAAATTATTTAGGCCCTAGCTGGTTTCATCAAGTGGATAAAGCGTTGGCCTAAGCACCGAAGGGTCCCAGGTTTGATTCCGGTCAAGGCCATGTACCTCGGTTGCAGGCTCCTGCTTGGCCCAGGCCCTGGTCAGGGTCATGCAGGAGGCAATCAATTGATGTGTTTCTCTCACATTGATATTTCTCTCTGTCTTTCCCTGTCTCTTCCACTCTCTAAAAATCAATGGAAAAATATCCTCGGGAGAGGATTTAAAAAAACATTTTTTTTTTAAGAAAGTGCTTTTATTTGTTTGCTATTCCTGAAATTCTGAACACAAATTGGAGGTGTACATTTTTAAGAATACAGTTGTGTGCTTTCTAAAGTTCCCTCCAGGACCAGCCAGACTGTGTATGCCACCACTCCTTGCCTCTGTTCCTATGTAGGTCTTTGCTGCTATCACCTCTCTCCCAATTCCGACCTCCTCAAGGTGCGGGGAAGAGTGACAGGGATGACCCTGAAGGAGAGAGGCCACCACGGGAGTGCATGGCACACAGCGAGCGGGAAGCAAGACAGAGGATGTGGGCCTAGCTCACCAGATCTGTAAACAAGGAGGTAGCACTGGGCTCCCCGTTTGCAGAGTCTGAGGGTCCCTAAATCAGAGTGTTGAGATAGAAGCAACACTGCTTCCTATTCATTTGGGGGGAAGAGCAATGGAAGTTTTCCACAGTATAGACAGGTAACCAGGCCAACAGACTTCTCCTCTGCAGCCAGTTAGAAACTGCAAAGAGCTCTCGCAAGGTCAGATTTGGAGTATCTTCTCCTGACACTTACTAGCCCATGACAAAGTAGTGACTAAACCCATTTCTAAACTCATTTTCACTTGGTGGTGAGTGTGACTTAGGTTTTTCGGCAAAAGTGAACAGTTCAGTTTTTCAGAACCAACAAACTGGCCAATGAGGGATGCACCAATAGGAGAAATAGCTTTCAATTTTGCTCTATATTTACTCATTTTTGTTATGGTTTAGGGGGAAGTCTTTTTGAATGGGGTGGTAGGAAAAATGGGAAAATATCTGATGAGGACATCATTCAGTTCAACAAGCATACACTGAAAAATAGAGAAAGATCTGGGGTTGGACAGTCCTGGGTTCAGATTCTGCTGCTCATTAGTTGCGTGACTCAGGGCAGCTAGCCACTTCCCCATGCCTCAGCTCCTCACTGGACATGGGGCTAAGGCCCCAGGAATGCTG